TCGCCAGTTCTTGCAAACCAAATATTATGTCCATTCGGAGAACGCACGTCTTGTGTTCCGAGAAACTTGATTTGTTTTTGCAAATACTTTTTACAAAATTTTTTTTTAAATTAATTACTTAAATATTAAAACAAAAAATTTACTGGAAACGAACTTGGTGGATAAATGTTGCCCGAAACCTTTAAATAATTAATTATTGTATTGTAGTTTCTTCTGTATAATAATAATATGTCGGGGCTTTTGGGCTTATAAAATACATATAAATCTTATAGTTTACTATTTGAAATACTAGTTTATAATGCGGCATATATTATTACAAATCTGTGGTACTTATTGTTTTCTGCATTGTAATATTACTAGTCGTTCGGCATTTCAATAAATATTATAAATTAAATTATTACACAGTGCCATAAAACGAAACCGCCATCACGAACGACTCAGGGCTAGGAATTGTAGGAAAACATAAATTCGAGTTTTTAATTGTCGTACTATCGATATAAAATGGAAGTGGTATCAGCAAAATCTTCCCCGTGGCCTGTTCAAATAGTCAATCATGTCGTTAATCCTTCTGCGGTATTATGCGCAAAAATAATACAAATAATGATATGCAATTTTTAATGCATAATGTGCATTATAGACGGCGTGGACATGTCAACGAGAATAAGTTACGCTCGTGTGCTTGTGAATGTTTTATGTTGATAATGAACAAGAGATAGAAAGAGAACAAGAGAGAGAAAGACGATCCTCAAGCTTGAAATTACCGTACGTTACACTAGACAGCATGGTGTTCGAAACACGTTATCTCCAGTCGGCTGATCTTGTCTCTATTCTTTGCTGATATCAATGCTCTTGCGATAAAAAAAACTATAAATATTTTCTAAGTGTAATTTTTATAGAACTGTCCGAGTGTCTAATAGTATTGGTTGCTCGATATTAGTATTTCAAATTTTATTTAATGGTTTCACAATGTATGTAACATTAGAAATTATGAGTACTGTAGGAAGCCTAAATGTTGTAATAAACAAGATCAATTTCATATTTTTATTTATTAGTCATTATTTATTATAAACTGTGTTAATAATAATTGTAAAATAATCTCACCTTTTATTCTAGTTAAAAACATTACTCACTGGTTACAAATATAAAGTTCAAAATTTACTTAGAAACAAAATCGAGTAGGACTTATCAAATACGTCATTCCGTTATAAGCTATTTTCCGGTGTTTGTGATAAGTGAAAATGACTCGATTAGAAATTAATATCAAACAAATATAATTGAAATTTGACTCTTCTCAACTTATCTATTGAGATTCTTTTCTTGATTAGAGATCATTTACTTGCTGCTCTATTTAGGATAGATCAGTACATACGCTCAAAGACGCGTTGACTTAATTAAGAAATAATTGTATTTTTATTAATTGCGAGAGTTAATTATCTTTTCAGTATTTTGTTAATAAATTTTATACTACGACAGTGATAGATAACACGTAGCCTATTTTGTTATTTATAAACTTATAAAATATAATTTTACACGATTTGAATTAATTACACTGTACTGTTGTTCTAAAAAAAAGGCATAACGG